GATGTATGAGAATCTTGATCATTGGAAGATTATGACTAATTCATTTATCACATGTTTTATGTGAGTCAAAGTGAAGGACTAATGGATCTGGTTCATTGATATGGACTATGCAAATCTACCACAAAGGATGAGAACCTCTATTCGTCACGATTTACTGATGCTTTAGTAAATGTGCTTGTGCTTATAAGATTAAGCATTATTTTGATATTTTGGAAAAGTTTTCAGAGAGTACTAGAATGAATAAGAAGAATCTATTAGGCAGAAAGATAAAAGGTTCTCTAATATGAATGGAAAGGGGAGCACGTTGGTATCATGTTTTATGATCATCTTAATGATTATGGAACTATACCGTAATTGATCATTAGAGAACATATTAGTGCAATTGTATGAATAAGAAGAGGAATCAAATGTTGTTGAAACGGTTCAATCAAGAGCGATGCTCTAGCTACTTCGAATCGTATCTTGAAACTTATTTCATACTAAGTAGGTTTATTACACCTTATGAAATATGGAGTAATAATGTTTTCTTACTCTAGCACATTTGGAATTGGAAGTTGTGATGTTTTGGTTAAAATAAAGGATGAACTAAGGCCAATTCCATGAAGTGTTTCTTGTTGGGAATCCACACTAACTTTTGAATATTAGTTTTAGCTTGTCAAGGAATGTTCCTTGAGAGAAAAACTTATATCTAAAGAAGTTAGTGGGAGTCTTAATGATCTTGAGGAGTTTTAGAAGTCAACCAACAATAAAGCATTTAGTTATCACTAGCACACGACCTGAGGTTGATAACTTATATTGTTAAGTTGACACATTCTTATTTCTGTGCACTTTCCGGTTAGGTTGGCAATGGTTATGTGTAACATCCGGAATTTCAGGTATTATATTTATTCTTTTTATTTTGAGTTTTGAAGAGGAACTCGGCGAGTTGGTGCGTAGACTCGCCGAGTAGAGATGCGATTTCTCATCTGGATTAATGACCGGACTCGACGAGTCGCATTGGTGGACTCAGCGAGTCAGTACTGTTTAATGAAACCCTAATTTCTCGGGTTTGGGGCCTATTTAAAGGGCCTTATGGCCGTCATTTGTGCACACTAGTCCATAGAGAGAAACCCTAGAGTGCTTGAGCGTTTTGAGAGAGAAAGGAAGCCATTCTTGACCTTTTTGGTGTTGTTTAGCAAGAAGAAGGAGGTCCTAACCAAGAGGAAGCAACGGAGGTTGCTATACTGTGGATTTGAAGCTTAGATCATCGCACTTGAGGTATTAATTCGACTCATCTTCTGTTTTATGAAGTATATTTGGATTTAGGGTTTCTTGTGGCCTTTGTTGGGTTGATTTGATGCCCAAATAGTCCCTTTCTAGTGATGAGGCTTTGGATCTGGATCCATAGAGGTCCAGAGAGCCTCACTCATAAGGCTTTATAAAGAGCAATGGAGGTTATGACCTTGAGTTGTGGTATTTGGGGCTAAATCATCATATATGGTCATATAGATGTTGTATGTATATCAAGATAACGACTTTACGTGATAAATAAGCTTGGAAGGACTGGATCTATGAGTTAGTGGAACAGATCTGACCTTAGAAGGTCGTTTGGGATTATGCATGGAATGCACTCGCCGAGTCTATTGGCAGACTCGACAAGTTGGTGCGGGTTGTTCATAGATTTAGAACTAGGGGTTGAGTAACCGAGTTGGGTGAGTGACTCAGTGAGTCGGAAGGGACTCAGAGGAAGTGGGGTCCTCGTAGGGACTCGGCGAGTCCACCCCAGACTCGGCGAGTTGGGGTTGACCATTGACCATTGACTAGAGTTGACCAGTGTGGACTCGATAGAGTTAGTCAACCTTAGTTGGGAAAGTGTTAATTAGAGATGTATTGTGTTATAGGAGGACTATAGCTCGGGAGATCGAGCACTAGTGATTTCAGGGATTTACAAATTACCGAGATACGTGAGGTGAGTCTTCTCACTATACTTTACCTTGAGTAGGTAACCAGAGTTATGTGACAGAGTATTTGTATGCTATGTGTTGTACTGCATTATTTCTATGTGATTTATGCTGTGCATGTTTACAGAGTTAGAACCGGAAGGTTCCCAAAGTTAGAACCTGAGGGTTCACAGAGTTTGGGTGCACAGACCCACAGAGTTATAGCCTCGACTGGCTAATATGTGTTATATGTGGTATTTTGGGGAACTCACTAAGCTTCGTGCTTACAGTGTTTTGTGTTATGTGTTTCAGGTTTCTCTCAGGATCACGAGACGGCACCGGCTTGATTGTACACACCAGCGAAAGAGTCATATTTTGAGGATCCTGGTTTATTATGCAAGTGAAAATGGAGTTATGTTTTGTAATCTGATTATGAATGAGATTTTAAGAAAAGTGTTTTTAAGAATTAAACCATTATATTTAAATGAAAATTTGTTTTGAAATTTACGGTGTTACATTATGAGTTCTATGGTTCTCATTTTACTGCAAAAGGCAGAGCACGTTGGTTAGTGAAAGTACACCGATCACACTACTAGAAAAACAGCCTTTTACGATGCAGCGCATCGTAAAGGGCTCAGACGACACACAAATGCGCGTCAAGGAAGACCCTGTCATAAAGAGAGACGACGCGTATTTACGACGCGCGATTACGGCGCGCATTTACGACACGCAGTGCGTATCAAGAAAGGCCCTGTCATAAAGAAATATGACATGCATTCGCGTGTCGTAACCTTACGACGCGCGTTTTAATGACACGTAATGCGTATTAAGAAAGCCCCTATCAAAAAAGGTCATGTCATAAATGAAGATGACACACATTTTTGAGTATCATAATTTTAAATGTTTAAAAAAATATTATTTATAGATTTACTAATTTTCAAATTAAATTTGTATTTAATGTCTCATAATAGAAAATAAAATATCATATACAAAAAATACAATCCATTGCATAAAATTTAATGTCATACAAATAATCATATACAAAAAATACAATCCCTAACTATCTAACCTATTATTACATTGCTATTAAGAGATACCTTGTTTAATTTTTAATCCAACCTGTCTTCTGGTCTCCCAAGAGCAAATCATTAATATCACCCCTCAATCTTACACCATCAGGTAAAGTTTGTAGAAATAGAGGAAATGAGCTCCTAAATGATTAAGTACAGACAACAATATTCAATGGTAAAGTTGGCATTATACCTTCCTTGATCCTCCAAACAGGAGACATGCCACAACTTTTTTTACATATTCATGGCCAAATATGGAAGGGGCAATCTTGGAACATATGGTTTCATATACATTGCCTTCTACTGCAAAAATTCTTGAATTCTTCAACAACTTTAACTGATCTCTCATATCCCAAAACCCAACTCTTTTGGTGCCCGTAACAATTTTTTTTTAAAGAAGGGACATAGTGGGCAAAACTGTTGTACCTCAAAAGTTTGATGTTCCTTCCTCTGCCTGCATTACAGACCTAAAAATAACATGCACATCACTAGTTAGATGTTTTAAGAATACATTGTATATGCATAACCTAGACCTAGTTCTTGCTCTTGCAATGTATGGATGCAAGCCATGACCGAATAAGGTATGATGTTATACAAGCTCATGCTTCACCATCGTGATTGAGTGATGATGATAATTTATAAAATAGAAGAGGAAAAATTCATGCTGGTGGAACTTGTATCTAATCCTTAGGTGATAGCCCTATGGCTGTAATGTTTATGGACCAAGCATTTTGCATGAGTACATTGACTAATATGAAAGGGATTAATTTTACTTACACTAATAGCACAACGTAAAACAATATCTGAAATCTTGTGAATAATTGGTGTCAACTATCTAATCAGCTTCTCCTTATGTCCAGGCTGTAAGTACCAGTTGATTTCTCTCTCCTTTTCAGGGCCTAATAGTGTTGCAACTGCCAGCTGGCTAAAAGCACTCAACATTGACCTTTTTTAATTTAATGTCTATTCATGGTATTATTATTATTTATATACATAAAAAAGATGAATCACACCTTGATTTCCTTGTTTATTTGTATGGTCGTTGTTCTTATTTTCTCAATGTATTTGAACAATGGGACAATCTTATGCCCTTATTATCCGATAACTCAATTTCCATGTCTTCAACTCTTGTCTGTGTCAGCAACAAACATTTAAACAAACTGCCACCAAATATTTCAAAATAATGATCCGTGAACATACCTAAAGCAGCAACCATGGTACGTTCTTGTAATAAAATAGGATTTTATCCAGATAAACATTATACAACATTTCATTATAAAGTATTTATAATTTAAAAATAAATTTAGGGAATGCAAAAAAATTAACCTTTTGGAATGAACTAGTGTTGCCTGCTCAAACAGACAAACAAAATTACATTAGATTAGCCCTACAAATATCATACATACACATATACTTGCTAGATTACTTGATTATTACCTCTGTGTCTCTAGATTGAATATATACTTATTTCCAAAACAGTTGACTGCAGGTGGTAATTCTGAATTTGACTCCTTACAACATGGGATAAATCAATGACTTAAATTCTGGCTTCCAACATCAACAACATGAAAAGAAATATATATCATTATCATGACATAACTCAACATTAGAGAGAAACAGAAGTATTTCTTACATATAACATTCTCTCATGTCCTGATATCATTAACCGAGAAGAATCACTAGTAAATATAATGAATTGGGCAAAAGGTCTTCTTTAGCAAAATACACCTCGCGAGGGATTGCCTTCTGTTCTTTCAGAGACACAATACACCTGGTGAATCTCTTCTTTAGCACCATCATCTCAACTTCAACTTCCATTTGCTTAATTTGCTCATGTAATTTTGAGAAAGTGCAGAAGGGTAAAATAGAAATACCTTCTGGCAGCAGTGTTGGGTTAGGGCAAGCATTGCTGTCATTTGAGAACGAACCAATGCTGATGTGTACACAATGTCAAATGGCATTGTACTGATTCTCTTTCCAGCTTCAATTGCTTATTCTACTCCTTTTCTTGTTAAGGGCACATCAACACGTCCAGTAAACAGATTCGTTTCATTCCACATTGATTCTTTTCATTCCACAGAGCAGTTTTAAGAACAATCTTTTTTAAGCCAAGAAAATAATTCAATGAAATATCATCATTGGTATGCCAGTTGATTTTTCTTGATGATGCTTTATCAAATCCATCACACTTAAATAGTAATGACAAATGATGTTCCTTTAATGTTGTATTGGAACCCAAATCACCAATTTTACTTTGCATCCAGCTCGCCCCATAGCCATTCTAATCATATGTCAAACATAATGGAGTTCATAAGTTGCCACAGTAAAAGAGTTGAAATTACAGTATTACACTATTTAGAAGTGACTTACAAGTAGATTTTCAAGTATCAAACAGAATAAAAATCTGAACTGATTACACTTTTTGCTGATGATTTTACTTCTCTTGATCACGAACTTTTGGTGAAATTAATTTTCCTTGCACCCAAATTATACACATAATCGCTGAATTTTTTTTCTATTAGTTGATCGATGCACAAATTATGCACCCAAATTTCAGCATTATTCATATGCCCTTGTTTTTATCAACAAATAGAAATGAAGACGATGACACTTAATAGACCTTGTAAAGCCAATGTGGACTTTCTGCACAGAATATCATAGCAAGAGCAAGTATTGTGGATGGAATTGTAGATAACCAAAAGCAGATACGCCACCTGGACATACATTCAAAAAATGAATCAAAATCTAAAATGTTAATTACAGTTTCAGAGGTAGACAAAGCTTCGTTACCAGCCTGAGATGCTCTTTACAGGAATCCCGATTAAAAGAGCTCCCATCAACCCTAAACATGTTGAAATTTGAATGAAGCTTCCATAAGTACCACGCACAGCAGGATGTGAAACCTGTGATTCCAATTCCATTCCACTATGTTGCAATTCCATTTCCATTGCCTTCCCCTGATGGCAACTCCTCATAGTCACCGGTTTCTTGGTTACATGAACACCTGGAAAATACAAAACACAAACTCATTACTTTATATATAACCACATTTTATCTCCAAATCAAAATCAATATAATTCAAATAATACTAAATCAGGTTGAAAATAATGATTCCAATTCCATTCCACTATGTTGCAATTCCATTTCCATTGCCTTCCCCTGATGGAAACTCCTCATAGGCACCAGTTTCTTGGTTACAAGAACACCTGGAAAATACAAAACACAAACACATTACTTTATATATAACCACATTTTATCTCCAAATCAAAATCAGTATAATTCAAATAATACTAAATCAGGTTGAAAATAGTGACCACATTATATAATATATTACCACTGTCCAGATGCTGCACTGCAATACAGTCCAGAAGATGGGTCATAATAATATCCTAAACTGCTGCTGTAGTAGTAACTGTAAAAAAAATTAAAAATAAAAATACAGAAACAATAAGATGCTGTTTCTTTTTGACTAAATATAAATCTGAATGGAAAACAAAAAGAGATGCATACCCTGAGGATTCATCAAATACATAATCGTTTTCTGTAGATCCAATGCCTGCAAGTGAAAACAGAATTGAGGGGCAATATTGTAATAAACCATCTGAATGAAAAAAACGAAAAAACTTCATGTCTACTTACCAGCTGATGGATCAACAGTAGATTTGTCATCATCTTCAGCAAACATGTCAAAGGAATCATCCTCATTGTTTGTAGTATTATCTGCGGAAGGTATTCCATTGAGACCGGAATCACTCATTCCAGAGGAATTAGGTTGCTTGTTTCCTGAACTAGAAGAGGTCCCTTCCCCTCTAGCACGCACTAGGTTCTCAAATCCCTCTGTAATTATAAAAACAAATGAAATCAGAGTTTCACTAATAACATTCCCAATAATTAAGAATATAAGAAATACTGTATTATTAATATTTAAATCATTTCATTATTAAACTTATAAAGAAATGCTAATTACCTGCTTCCCTATGAAAGACCTCCTGTTTTTCATCATACACATCTGCAGAAATATTTATGACATAAATCAGAATGTTCACAAATTTATAATAAATATAAAGAAAAATGTTGAAAGAAGATTATCTCAACTGTAGTCAACATCCTCCATCAGCTTCATGGCATCTTCAGTTAGTTGATCAGACACAATTTTTGTTTCAGCTAAAGTCTTTTCCTTTCTATTAGAATTTCCTTTCAGCCTTCTTAAAGCTTGCAACATCTGAAAAGAATATTATACTTATTATTTTCATCAATCAGTTTGAAAAATAATAAAAGAGAATTGAACAATTTGACATAACAAGAAACTTACTGTCTCCCCAGGTTGAAGCACATCAACAATTCTTCTCTTGATATGAGACATGCTAAACACATACAAGAAAAATTAATTCATAGAATTCACAGAAAAAAAGTAGATAGAAACAATACATCAAAAAGCTTTGTTTATGCCCTTGAATTTTTGGGCATCTGAATCTTTCTTTCCAGATTTTGTCTTCTCCATTGAAAGTCTCTGGTCAATAGAAACAATAGAAAACCTAGATTTTATGTGCTATCGACAGAGAAGAAGTGTCTGGACTCTAGGGTGAGGGGTTTCGTTTGAAATCACGATGGTTTTTGAGGATTCTTATTCAAAAGCTTGAAATTTGTCTTCAAGGTTTGTCTGTGTTTTATGTGTTGAAAACACGAGAGAGGTAGAATATCGAGTGAGTTGCCTTACCAAATCTTCCTCATTCATAAATGCAATAGATCTCGGGGTAGGTTCTTGACACTGTTACGCACCGATTCAACAGCTACCAAGTTCGATAGAAAATTGAGGAAAATCGTCTTGAGAGGGGAAGTAATTTGGGAAGAACTTGAAGCATTTGAAACCCTAGACCTTGATTCGATGTAACTTGACAATAGCCATTGTAGATTGATATATTGAAGACCTGGAGCGATCCCTTGTGAAGAAAGCTACGCGATTACAGAGAGTCCTTGTTGACCGAATCCAAAGATTCCGTGAATGGCTCTATCGGGTTTGGTTAAATCCCCAGTTTGGAATGTGCTACATCTAGTTTATGAACTTGCCAAGTCAATTAGGGTTGTTTAATGAAAAATGAAAGGGGTTAATGGATTGGGATGATGTCGTACCTGAGAAAAAAAAAGAAAAAGAAGGAGACCTCGCAGATCAATTACGATTCACCTTCGAGGTTTACAATGAGACGGGAGGTAGAGAATGAAGGGAGATCTAGAGGAGAGAGTATCAGAGAGGGGAGAGTGAATTGCAAGGATGAAAAATAGATAGAAGATAGAAAAAACAAGGCGGGTTTTCAAAATTTTGGGGATTTCGTTTCCCCCTTGTCTACTAAAAGCGCGTTTCATTAAAATTATAAAGCGACAGGTACAGACGACGCGCGTTTAAGATAAAGTGCCCTCCGTGTTTTTAATTTTTTTTCTTGAGACACTAAATTAAGGGCATGCAATAATGCGTGACGTAAATCCTTAATTTTTTTTTGGAGAGATAACACTATTTTAAGGGCACGTCCTTTTGCGTATCATTAATCAGCGCGTATCGTAAAAAGCGTGTCATTAAAGGTCTATTTTCTAGTAATGTCAATATGGGTGAACTGCTTAACAACATGTAAGCATTAGTAGGCCCTTGTGCTACCAGAGGGCAATAATTTAAGAATAAGCAAAGTTTAGTCCATGAAAGGAAAGCTAAATTTGAATTTGGTTTTGTCCTAAACCTTATCTTAAGATTGTAGGTTGGAAATGATAGATTTACATGGATGGGAACATGTAGACCATAAAATCTAGGTGGCAAAAGGTTTCACTCTAAATGATGAGAATGATTATGAGGAAACACTTTCGCCAATAGATTTTAAAGATTTGTTTAACATCATTGTGGTGCTTTTATTGCGTTCTCAAATCCGTAATATGATTACGACATCCCTTTTAATAGATTGAATTGTGAGAAATGCAAAGGAACTATTTGAACTTTCAGGACATATGACTATAAGTTCTGAAAGGATCTAAACACACACATACACATATGTTATCTAATGAAGGTGTATAAGCTTGAGAAGTCTAGTTTAAGATTTATTAGAGCATCACATATAAGAAATCTGAACTTCAGTAAGAAAGTCAAGAGTATTGATTTCTAGAAGTCCAGTTGATTTCTAGATACATGTCAAAGCTAGTGTGAGCATAATTGTTATGCTAAGTATTGCAAGTTGGGAATACTATTTGTAGGAAACAAAGTTTACAAATTTGCAAGTTTTAAAGTTTGGGAATTCTTTCTCTATAGAAAGATTTAAGGGAGAGGGCACTCATAATTTGTTTCAAATATAAAATTTTAGATTAAAGTGTTTAAAAGAACTTAGTTTTGGACATATATGATTGTCATGTTGAAATTATTCAACATAGAAAATTTGATATTTGGAAATATTATAGGAAGAGATAGAACAAACATCATGTATTTAGTAAGACATTATGAATCGAGTCCTATATGCTTTGGATATATGATCAATTACATATGCTATAATATTCACTTGTTCTGATTTTTCCAAATGCCTAGGGAATTGAGAGGGGAAAAGTAGTAGAACTTGGTATGACTAGAGTTGTTGAACAACTGTCAAGAACATTCTATGGTTATACTAACAGAACTGGTTGCTTATGGACAATTGAAAGTATAGTATTGGTTAGAAGAACCATAGTGACAAGTTTTAGATTGGGTTGATTCTTAATCGGAATTGATGGTTATATAGGTATATGGAAGTGTTTCCATAATGGGAGTTGTTTACTAAAATCCACATCTAAGTTGGAAACTTTAATGCAAGGAAGGTGTTCAAAGAGTGTATCTTGAATTTGAGACTTCATTTCCATGGAATTGTTTCTAATAACAAAGTTCCAACGAAACATTCTATGATATCGATGGTTAAGTCTCTTTGACTTTTAAGCCTCGACATCATAGAAGGACAATGCATTAAGGTTGAACTCTAACACATTCTAGTAGCGACAAGAATTTGGAATTGTGAAATGAGCATCATTGGAATAGTTTCCAGTCGATCTGTTCATAAAGGAAGGACCATAGAGAGACATAGTATGCATGTTCATAACATGTCATGACTGATATTTAATTAATGTGGTTAGTTAATTACTTGAAACATCATACAATAAATAAAGTATTAATTAATATGGTGATTAAATAATAAGAGTTTTATTTATATTCAATAGTCTTGAGACCATAGTTAATTAGGTTATTATAGTGTTTCACTTTGCATGTTTTACTTCCTGATTAATTTGATTATTCAAAATTTCATAGTCGATCGTACTTTTGGAAGAAAGTAGCGAATTAAGAATGTCATGAATTGGATTGTAGATTGTCTATGGATATTAGACATAGCAATTGTTTGCTGCAATGTTCATGAGTACTTAGAAAATGGGGATTTTGAGTATTGGATAAACCCACGCTCAGAGAATTACTTCATGGATTTTATCACGTGTAATTTTGAAACAATAATATCTTATATTCTTGAAATAGAGATATATAAGTTGTTGTTTATGAGAAAATTATGCATTGATAATGCGTAAACACATCAGTAAATTGATGTTATAAAACACATTATTGTGCATGATTTGATGAGTAAATAGTGCAAATATATAAGTCATAGTTTATTTGTTCGTTTTGCGCTAACGAGAAAAGCGATATCCATGGGCCACTCGATGGTTTGATGTCGACATCTGAAGTGCTTGCTGAAGTCGTTACTAATTTGATGTGTTCAATTAGTAGTATGTTTACAGTCTTCATAAATCAGAAATCAGGAAAGAAAACTTGGACAATGATATTGATTATAATCCATGTATCATGTCTGTACGATATCTTGTAGAATGGAGGAATATTTGATCACTTATCTTAGGACATGTTACTGACTGGGTTAGAGTTCAACAACGACTTTTGGTAGCTACAATTTGATGATCAATTTGGTAATTATACTGGCAGTTATAGTTATTAGACTTATCCAAGTGGGAGACTTTTGGATTAGATGTCTAAGCCCATAACTATAATTGGTATAAACTTGAATTGATAGTAGTACATTCCTTGTGGGTTGCCCTCAAGCCTGGCAATTGAACATGATGCCTTTTAGAGAGAGAATATTGATTTATTAATTTATTATATGGTTAATAAATTAATTAGAAATCAAAATAAATAATTTGTTAATATATTATGAGAATAATATATTAATTGGAAATAATATCATTTAATTAAGAATTAATAAAAAATTAATTGGATTAATTTTGGGATTAATTGAATTAATTAAAAGTAGGATGACTAAATGTGACAATGTTCAATAGTTGAGCATTGAGGAATTCTAGAACCTCCCATAAAGAGGGGGTGCGAAATCTAGAATGTTTCTAGGGTTTCCTTCGACTCTAAGGGTGCCTTGGATACCTTTGGGAGGAAGTTAAGGGACTAGGGTTATCTTGGAGATACCTGCCTTATCCAATACCTTCCTAACACCTATATAAACCCCCATTTAGGTTTAATTTCATCCATGCCTTATTCCTTAGAGGAAATTCTGATTTTTTGCTTATATTATCCTCTCTCTTTAAGCCCCTTGGTTGCTAGGGTTTGGGTGCGAACCATTAGAGGCACGACACTTGTGGCGCTTGCTACAAAAGGTTTTCAAGTAAGGATTCAAGATTGTTTACAATAACAAATTTAAAGGTTAGTTTTCTTGTCTTATGAATTAGTTTGTTCATAGGAAAAGTTTTGTAGATTAACCATTCATAATATTTTGTAATATTTGAAAGACAAATCAAACTAGGTTGCATGTGCCCTAATAAATTGAAATTGTTTTTGATTATTTTCTGCTTATGGTATTGAACTTGTAACCTCTAAAACCCATCAGATCCAACATCAGTATACAAACGTGGTTCATGAGATCCATGAACGCAACTGGAGCATTGGTGAGCCCAAAAGGCAGCACTACGAACTCGCAATGACCATAATGAGTCTTGAAATTAGTCTTCCGCATATCTTCTTTTCTAATCCTCATCTGGTGATATCTCGAATGCAGATCTATCTTGGAGAACCAATATTTATCATCAGCTCGTTCAACTCCCAGTAATCGATTCACATCCTGTAGGAACCATCATTCTACTTGACAAATATTATTGTAGCTCCCTAGGGTGAGCTACTCGGTCAGATAAAACCCTTGTCTAACAACTCCTATAATTGTGTAGAAAACTCTTGCATCTCTGTAGGTGCTAACCGGTAAGGTGCCTTAGCTATCGGAGCCGCACCTCGAAACAGATCTATACGAAACTCAATCTGCCTCTCTGAAGGCACTCCCCGTAAATCCTATGGGAACACATCAGGATACTTCCAAACAATTGATGCATCATCAACCGACTTCTTTCCCTCCTCTTGGGTATCCAACACATAGGCTACAAAACCAGAACAACCATACGAAAGATATATCTTAGCCCTCTTAGCTGAAGAGAGAACTGGTCCTCGTTGAGCCCCTTGGCCATGAATAACTATCTCTCCTCCACTTGGGGTTTAAACCTAGCTAACTTGTGCTTGAAATCGATTATCACCCCATTAAGGGTCAACCAATTCATCCCCACAATGACCTTGCTCTCGTGTAAAGGAATATAAGCCAAATCAATCGGGTATCTCTCTCTCAGAACAGCTCAAGAGTACAACCCCGATGAACCCTTGATACTCTCACTAAATGATCATTGGTGATCTCCACCTCCAATGGATAATAAAGTTTCCCAGGAACATCACCAAATCTCTTGCTGAGTTTAAGAGATACAAACGATCGGGTTGCGCCCGGATCAAAAAGAACCAAAGCAGGCAATCCATTCACTAAGTCGTACCTAAGCATTATAACATAAAACATAAGCATCAAAAA